ACACACACACGCACAGACAGACAGACACACACACGCACAGACAGACAGACACACACACGCACAGACAGACAGACACACACACGCACAGACAGACACAGTGACACCAGGGCCAGTTTTCCCAGAAGCCAGTTAACCCTCCAGCATGTCTTTGGACTGCGGGAGGAAACTTGGAGCACCCGGAGGAAACACCGGGAGAGCATACGGACTCCAGGAACTGAACCCAGGGCCACGGTGCTGTGAGGTAGGAATGCTCACCGCTGGGCCCCTGTCCCGTCAACAGAAAGCGTCAACGTGCTCTCTAAGTGGGCTTCACGGAAGAGGAATGACTTTCACGGAACAAGTAGAAACGGAGCAGAAGCGTGTTTAAAACCGAGACGCCTCTTGTCGGTTGGTTCTCGGTTTCGGGGCCCCGAGACGGACGCCGTCACGCGACCCAGCCTGGAGGCGCCCCTCGCTTGCTGGGGGGGGTGCTCAACCGCCGACCGTCCGAGGAAGAGGAGGGCGGCACTCACCAGGTGTGGCAGCGCCAGGTAGCTCACCAAGGTGACCAGCGTGCCCACGCAGGGGGTGATGAAGTAGCCCAGAGCCGCGGTTTCTCTATCGGCTTCGCCTGCGGAGAGACAGCGCCACAGTCAGGCCCCTCTGCGCCCCGGGCCGTCGCCCTTCCCCCGGGACACCAGCTGGGCTTCTCCCTGCTGCCCACCGATGCCCTGGTGCACCCTGGCCAGGACATACCCACGATGCACCTTGCTGACCGGAGAGGCGACAGGCTCGCATCAGGAGCCCCGATTTCCGGAATAAATTGATTCACTCCGCCCACCCGACAGACCACGCACAGCCTTGTGGGAAATCAGCAGGCGGAGCCGGAGAAAGGGGTCACACCCGGGAGTGACCCGGCTCTCTCTGAACCGCAGGGCACACCTGCGCCCCCAAGAGATCCCCTTGACTGCCGTGGGTCCCCTAGAAGACACCCACACGACGCACAGCCAAGAGCCGCTCCAGGACAGACAGGCTGGAGCGAATAAACCGCGCCTCCAGATCTCCTCTCCTCGCCCCCCGCCCAGCCCAGATCTCCTCTCCTCGCCACTTATTATAATAATAATTGCTCACACTTATATAGCGCTTTTCTGGACACTCCCGTCACTATACTGGGGCATCAGGACCCACACAGACCGCAGGGTGAGCGCCCCCTGCTGGCCCCCACTAACACCTCTTCCAGCAGCAGCCTCAGCTTTCCCAGGAGTCTCCCCTCCAGGTACTGGCCAGGCTCCCACCTGCTGAGCTTCAGTGGGGCTGCCAGTGGCGAGTTGCAGAGTGATAAGGCTGCTGATGCTGGCAGATGCCCTCTCTTCGCCCCCCCCCAACCCCCTGCCCAGATGCCCTCTCTTCGCCCCCCCCCCACCCAGCCCAGATCCCCTCGGACCGGCGGCTTCCCTGCCACATGGCGGTGCGAGGCGAGAAGGGGGTGTGGCACTCACTGGCGATGGCCATCAGCATGGCGAGGGCGGCGAAGGTGCCAGCCAGGGCCTGTCCGCTCATGAAGACGGCGCTGTACCTCTGGGGCAGGATCCCCACCAGGCCGAAGAGACTGCCCTGCAGCACGGCCCCGAACGCTGCAACACACACACACACACACAGGGGGGGCTGGGTTAACACCCACAAGATCAACGAGCTCGGTCAGCACGGCCGCTGACAGCAGCCTAGCTCAGCGCACTGAGACTCCTGCTGCGCGCCGCCACGATTCAGAGTTTCACAAGCCTGACCCGTCGCTTATCAACGAGGAACAACCCCAACTCTCCTGGCTCCTCGGATGATCAGGGCTCTGCGGGGATGATGAAACTCGGGGGAGAAAGGGGCTGGTTTCGAATTCAGCTTTCTTTAAATTCAACGCCCCCCCCCCCAAAAAAAAGTCATTTCCTCAATCTGACGGCTACAAACAGGGTAAATCTGCAGATACCAGTATCAAACTGTTTTCTTCTGTCGCTCCCAGTCCTGATAATGTTGAGCTTCTGGAAGCCGGTACAAGGGCCGTCTAATCTCCCGGACCTGACCTTTGACCCCTACCCCAGGCCCCCCCCGCGCGGGCACTCACAGTTGATGAACCAGATGGTCGCCATGGTGACCGAGAAGAACTGGTCCTGCTCCATGGGGACCTTGACCAGGGCCGCCGTGAGGGCGAAGAGGATTAGGATGAAGACCAGGCTGCCGGCGATGCGCACTTTCTCCGCGATCCTGGGGAGAGGGGGGGAGAGGGGGGGAGGAGGGGTTAACATCACAGGATGAGGCTGTGGATAACGGCGCCCGGGTTTCAACAGAGCGCTCGTTCAGTCGGACAACGAAGACGGGGGACGGGGGGGGACAGGGGGAGTCCCCCCACCCATCCCAAAGCAGTTTCTGGACCCTCCACTCTGAGCTCTGTACAGGTCATGGGGATCCCCTCCACCCCCAGCAGTGTGTACCCCCACCTGGATGAGGCGCCAGTCCGCTCCCCACACCCCAGCTCTCAGTGGGGAGGAGAGCAGAGTGATGGAGCCAGTCCAGAGAGGGGGGGTTATTTAAGAAGCGCTCCCGTTCACCCCCCACCCCCCCCCGTGGCCCCGTCGCCCACTCACCACTGATACAGGAAGGAGTTGAGGAAGGTGAAGAGGAGCAGGGGCAGCTGGGACAGCAGGGTCATCCAGTTGTTGAAGTGGTACTCCTTCTGGAGCGGCACGGTGCCGTTGGCCCAGGCGGACTCGTTGACCTCGTGCCGCAGGCGGCGCTGGAAGTACTGTGCCCGAGGACGGGGGGGGGGGGGGGAGGAAGGAGAGAG